TTGTTTTAAAAAATACCATTAGATTTCTAAAAAATATGCATGTCTATATTTTTTAACCTATTGAATTTTTCATGTGGCACATGATTCAAATTGGATATACATTGCCTTATCATATTGTTAATGGTGTAAAACTTAGAATTTCCTATATTTAATGGTATTAAAATTTCCTATAGTTAATGGTATGTAGAAGATAAGTACTTAGCATAATTGAATGTAAAGTGTTTAAACTATTTTTTCTATGTATTGAAATCAAAATACTATATGTAAGTATTTACTTACACTGGTGGAAAAGAGATTTGGGATAGATTATGCATCACTTAGGAAGGCACTAGTGAGGTTAAATTGACATGATTAATTTTTTTGTTACATGAATATGAATTTTTTCACATGAAACCTCGTAAGTCAAAATTTGATATGTATACTAGGTTCACCAAAATAATTACTTCTTTGCATGCCTTGGGTAAAGAGATTTATAATTCTGAAAGTCAAAAAAATATTACATTTTGTGCCTGTGCTAAATTAACTTTTATATATAAATAAAAAAATCATAATGTGTACTATACTGACAATATTTAGGGCTCTCTTATTGCTGAAGAGTAAAATGTGAGCCAGAGGCTTTGAGATGCACATTATCAAAGGAATGAAAGGATAATAACATTGAAGGTTGATGACACCAAGAGTAGTGATTCAAAAGTTGATGGGATAGAAGATATTAATTTAATGACATGCTATTTTAAGAGCATCATGAAATGCAAATGCAAGCACCATTCAATAAGACCAATGGTAAAATTGGAAAGTTCAATAAGTTTTCTTTTGATGTGCTTTATTTCTAGTAAAAGAAGCCTAGACACATGATATTAGATTTCCCCAACATCAAAAGCCACTATAGTAAGGAAAAATGAAGATAAGTCTAACATAAAAAAGGGAAAGCAAAAGCTTTAAATGGCACTCCGAGCAATCTCAGAGTTAGATTCCAAAGAAATGGAACTACAAAAGGAAGTAACCTACTAAAATAAAATTGTTAATATTTAGAGATTCTCTCACATAATAAAACCGTAAAAATATCAGATATAATAATCAATTAAAATATTCTGGATTTCTAAATTTAAATTATATATTTTTTTCCTAATGAGCCTCTTCATGGTAATGTGATTCAGAGCATATGTATCATTAGATTCTATCAAGCTTATAGGAGTTAAAAGAATATCTGCTAGCCTCCTATAATTAAAAAGTTTCCTTAAGAACCTAAAACATTTTACATCCAATTTCTTGGCATGTAAACATCCTATCTCAATACTATTGGTTATTCTTGCATTCCTCCGTTGAGGTTATACATCACACTAAATTTTAACTACATATATGGATACTATTGGTATTAAATAAAGAGTGGGATGATGTTGAAATTTTTTTTAATAGTTGTAGAACAAGAGACTTCATTAGTTCTCAACTTGCAATTTCCATCATCAATACAAATAAAGAAAATTTTGCAAACATAAGATGAATAACTAACAAACTCATATTCATTAAGCTCATGGAAGAATAAAAATACAGGAGAGTGATATCACCATGAAGGATCAAATTATCTACTATACACTTCTTCTCCCTTAACTTCCAAATTTTCTTCAAGAAACACAGGCTAAATACTCTTAATAATTGTATATTGTACTTTCCTAGCTTCGATTAGATTTTACTCTAAGAGGGAACTAGAGAAGTACTCTAAAATGTACTAAATATTATACAAATGACTAAACTCCCTTATAAACATAAAATCTCAACTATTTATAGAAAAATATAAAAGGCATCTGGCACTATAGCACTTGAAATAATGGTGTTGTAGAGCCTTTAAATTAAACTAGTGTCTCAGTGCTAAAACTTCTATACTACTATGATACCCCTTGATGCGTATCAATTATTTAATGAGTACTTACATCTTTTCTCTTATAGATTGTGACCTTGGAAGTTACAATTATAATGATGAGGTATTATTTACATTGTAACATTGAGGTGCCCAAGTAGGAAAAATGCCACTAAGGTGTGAGAAATTATGATGTTGTAACATTTGAAAATAGAAAATTTTGTGCTACAAGGCTGACTTCCTAATGTTGTAGAACTAATAATACTGAGGTGTATTCTGTATTGCCACCCCAGCACTTGGAAATAGACAACTCAATACCATAATGTAAGAATTGGAACACCTTTGTGGTTTTTTTTTTTAAATTGAAAATTACATTAATAATGAAACTATTATATACTACTAATATAAGAGCAACAATCACATTCCTTCTTTAACAATGTAAGCAAAGAAGAAGGAATGTTATTAGGAGAAAACTATTCTAAAGAAAGCTACTATATAAAGCATAAGTGGCATAAATCATCCATTTTATACAAACTTTAGAGGTATAATGAAATACTACATTATTGAAATTATGTAAGAATAATACCGCTTTATTTTGAAACCCCTCTTGCTATCATTTTGAAATCTTCATAGAATCTTGAATCATTTTGATGATGTTAATGTTATCTCCTTCAATAATTACACCTTTGTATTCAAAATCCAACTTTGAAGATGTCCTTTAATCACCTAAATAGCCTCCAATTCTAATTAAGATATATCACAATGCTTTCTTTGTTTACCAAAAGCATGAATAAACCTTCCTTCATAATCTTTGATTACTACTCCAAGTCTTTTAAGATTTGACTTCATTATAGATGCATCACTATTAATTTTAATCAAATCTAGTCATGTGGGATTCCAAATATTTGAAAACTATGAAGGAGATTAACATGTCAGTCTTCTAGAAGAGGATTTTGTCTTGGCTATAAGGTTGTATTTAATATATTTATTGTAATAATTGAAATAGGAGACATATGACTATCATGCCTTACTGCATTCCAATTTTTCCAAGATAAAAAGATAGTTTTGTAATATAATCTAACAATATTATGATTAATCTTCTGAATTCTTATAAGTTTAGAGATGCAGTCAGAAAATGACCTCTAACACAAGAATTTCATTGGATGAGATTTCTATAATTAAGAAAATCATTTGTAGGAAGAGCATTCTTACTCATTCTCCACCAAAGCAATTGCACCTTTGGTTTAAGATTCAGCTTTGTAATTTACTTCATGAAAGCAACTACTTCTTTATAAATTAATGCTCAAATTACGCTTTATAAGATAATTCAGCAATATATTTACTTGAATGTTGGTACATAAGTTCAATTTGATCTTCAAGCATTTATGGATGAATAGGAACCTGCATTATTAAAGATATAAAATTATCATGAAAAAACTTTTGAAGCTCCGTAATTTTCCAATTGCCTTTAGAAGATATAAATTGTTGAACATCTATTTAGACTTCTATCAAAAATCCAAACATCAATTAAAATGCTTACTTTGTTACCATTAGATAATTTCCATCTAATGATAGGCTTTAGATATTTAGCACCATCAACCAATAAATTCTAAGTAGAAGAGAATCCCCTTTTGATTTAAGCATTCCATATATCACTTCCATATTTTGTAATAAGATTTTTATTAAGTAAAGAAGAAGGATTTTGAATAAATATTTGTGTCAATGTTGCTCTTAAAGGGTCAATTTTGTTTACAACTAAATGAAGGCCTGATCCACCAAAAATTTTTAGTTTGTAAAGCTCCCCCCAAGCAACATAATGTAAACCAATTCTACCTTTATCCTTATGCCATATAAAATTTCTGCATAATTTTTCTAAATCATATAACAAACCCTTTGGCACTGAAGAATGAGTTGATAAGAATATAAGAAGTGATAAAAATGAAGATATTATGAAAAGAATTCTTCTATGTAATGAAAGACAAATTTTTCCCCAAGCATTTACTCTTCCCAATGCATGATCTAAGATGCTCTAAAAATCAGTCAACTTCAACCTTCATAAACAATTTTCACTCCAAGATATTACAATTCTTTAACAATTCCAAAATCCAACTTTTTGGCTATATTTCTCATCCTGTTAACATCAACTAATTTCCAAAAAAATTGAATAGTTGTTATTCACCTTTTTACCTTTCAAACTACAAAAATCAGCAATAAATCCTTTCATTATCTAAGATACTTTTGGAGATGCAATTAAAAACAAAAGAAAATCATCTACATTTAATAAATGTCAAATATCTTCAATTTTGGAGAAATTTCAATATTTAATTATACACCTCTTTGAAGGATAACATTGGATAATAACTGAGAACATATGATGAATAAAAAGGTGACAAAATACTTTTCTAAATCCACAATTAGCATTAATCCATTTAGAATTCCTCGCATTTGTAAGAATTAAAAATCTAGCATTCTTCACACATTCCAAAATAAAATTAGAAAACTTAGGAAGAAAGCCAAACCAACTTAAAGCCTTCACTAAAGTCGTCTAGCCCATGATATCATAAGCTTGTTTCATATCACTTTTCATAACCATTAATCCCCTCTTTGCATTAAAAATTTCTTAATTTATTAAAAATTTCTTGAACTAATAGACAATGGTCTGAAATAGATCTTCCAGGAATAAAAGCAAATAGATCTTTAGTGATAATTTTTGGAATACTCCATTTCAATATATTCATAATCATTCTAGTTGCCACCTTATAAATGGTTTGATAAAGAATTATAGGTCTTAAGTAAGAAGTCTCAATTTGATTTTTAATCTTAGGGATTAGCATAATTAAAGTATCCTTCCACATAGGACTCATTTTTCCATATTTAAAAAATTGTCAATAGCTTTCCATGTATCATACTTAAAAATTTCCCAAAAAAATTTAATAAAAGGTCTATCAAATCTAGGTGATTTTTTATTACGAAATTGGTGCACAACTTCTGTGAATTCCTCTATAAAAAATTATTCATTAAGTTTTTCCAACACACTTTTTTCACTGTGAGTTTTCTAGAGAGAGAAACTGTGAGTTTTATAGAGAGAGAAACTGTTCGTGGTTTTTTTATTTTTGAATTTTGTGGTTGAGTCGTCTTGGTGAAGATGGTGGTTCCAGACAGCCAGCAGCTGTTTGCCGGCGGTAATCCTCTAACTGACCCCAATCGCAATGTTCCTCTTAGAGCTGTTGATCAAAGATCCGTAAAGAATCGCAATGTTTCTTTGGATCAAGAATGACTCAGGGTTTCATCCAATTTGGTGATCAAAGAAGGCTTTAGGCCTCCGGTGAGATATGAACCAATTGTTGAAGGGAAGGGCAAAGGAATTCTTATTGATTAGAATATTGGAGGGAAGACAATTCTGATCTCTCCTGTTGTTACTGAACAGGATGTGTCGTCTGATGTTGTTCTGGAAGTTAAACAATGTATGGAGTTGAATAATCAAGAGAAACAGGATCAGGTCTGTAAAAATCTTCCGGAGGCGATTGATCAAGATAGAGGAAATTTGGAAGAAGCTATGAAGAGGGATGGTGAATCTGTTCCAGTTAACTAGTTTAACTCAGCATGGCAGAAAACACAGCATATCAAGTTGAATTATGATAACCGATCTACCTGTTTTACTGAAGATGGTATTGCTGTAAAGCTCAATAATGATAAGGAAATTGCCAATTCTCAGATTTTAAAGAAGTCTATGGTTGTCAAGGTGCTGGGATCGAATATAATGTTCTCTGTTTGCAGTCAAGAACTCAGAAGACAATGGGGTAAGCTTGGTATCTTTCATATTACCACATTAGGTTGTAATTGGATGTTGTGTTTGTTTACCACCATGGAATCAATGGATGAAGTTTTAAGCGGAGGTCCCTGGTACATAGGAAATCATATTATAGGTATGGATAGGTGGTCATCGTCATTCTCTACTGATTCGCTTAAGGGTATCTCTTCTCCAGTCTGGATTAGGTTCCCTGGATTACCTTTAAGCTGTTGGGATGAAGAAAATATTCCCATGATTGCTTCCATTATTGGAACTCCTATGATGCTTGATGGAAACTCATTTAAATGGGGCAAAGGAAAGTACGCTCACTGCTGTGTTAGAATTGATCTAGAAAAGAAACTTACTAGGGGAGTTTAGATTGAAGGGATTCATGGTAGAACTTTTCAACGAGTTGAATATGAAAAACTTAATTCTCTCTGTTATCGTTGTGGTAAAGTTGGACATAGTAAAGATGTATGTCCTGATGCAGTTATTGTTCAGGTCAAGGAAAAACTGGTACAAGAACAAGTGGAAGTTCTGAAACGGACAGATAATGTCAATGAAGATGGTTTTAAGCAGCAAGCTGATGATTATGGACCTTGGATCCACGTTAAATTCAGAGACAGAAGAGTCAGAAATATTAAGAGAGCTGGTGGAGCTAGTAGTTTCAATAAACAGATTAATAGACCGGTTGAATCAAATAAACAAAATCAAATTGTAGAAGAGCCGGTTAAAACTACAGAGACAGAAGGAAATCAGGACAAGTCTCTAACTCAGGGAGAAGATATGAACGCTGAAGGAATTCAGTTACAGGATATACCAATTGGGGTGAATAAATTCCAAACTTTGGAAGGAGATCTGGAAGAAGGGGAATTAAATGAGAAAGAAAAGACAAGGATGCTGGAGAAGGCGGAACCTCTGAATCAATATGGAAAGGAAGTTCACCTGGAAGTTGAAGTTCCAATTGCAGATCACGATCTTAAAGATCAATTAAATTCTACTTCAAATTCTGGTAAAATGAAACTAGCCAATGAATTGAGATCATTGGAACCTATGGAAGCTGATACAAAAAAGAGGAGAGGGACTAAAATAAATAGTAAAATAATGGGGGATTATTCCTCTATTATGTCTTAATGGCCTCACTTATTTTTTTGAACTGTAGGGGGGAAAAAAAGATGGAGATCTCCCTATATCTTAGAGAGATTGTGAAAGACTATAAGGGCTTTTTCATTGGTTTAACTAAAACAAAAATGTTATCGCTGGATGGAAATGACATTAATCAGATTATGGGTAACGATTGAGATTACTTTCATCACCCAGCTATTAGAATCTCAGGTGGAATTCTAGTGATGTGGAAAAAGGATACGGCTTCCTTTGAAGTATTGAATCACTCATCTCAATTGATTATGGGAATTCTTAGTGTCAACAATATGGGTAATTGGAACATTGCTACGGTCTATGGAAGTAATGATGCTTATACTCGTAAATCCCTTTGGCAACAGCTTGAAGATTGTATGATTGGTGATAATCCAGGGATCATCGGAGGGGATTTCAATTGCATCCTCTCTAAGGAGGATAAGAGAGGGGGAAAGAGGTTCAATCTTTCTAATGGTAATAAAGATATAAAGATGTTCTTAATGAACAATGATTTTCATGATATTGGATATGTGGGTCCAAATTATACATGGTGCAATAATAAAGAGGGAACTTCCAGAATTTGGGAGAGACTTGATAGGTGTTTGTTGAATTCTACAGCTATTCAAAGCATCCCAATGGCTAAGGTACGTCACTTGCCGAGAGTCGCTTCGGATCATGCACCTATTGCCATCAATTTGGTGGAACCCCAAAAGTGGAATTTTTCTATTTTAAGGTTTGAAGATACTTGGAAATCCTATTCACTTGGAACATCATTTCAAAAACTTGGAAGAAGATGGATTTTGGTACTAATGCTAAAATCCTATAAAGGAAGCTGAGGAGATATTTAAAAGCTATTTACTATTGGAATAAAAACAAATGCAAAGAACTTAATTCTTTTAAAGAATAATTGAAGAAGGAAATATTGCAACTTCAGATTGAAGAAACCAGAAATGGAGGGTTAACGGCTGATAAATTGAAATCCTTGAGGAGTAAAGTCCATGATCTTAATGTGACTTTAAAAAGACTTGCTACTTGGTGGAATCAAAGGGCTAAGATCAGATGGAAACAAGATGGACATATAAATTCCAGATTTTTTCATCAATATGCTTCGGCAAAAAGGAATGGAAATAGCATTTGGCAAATCAAAGATAAACAAGGGATTACTGTTGATGATATGGAGCAAATTGAATATGTTTTTTACAGTTTTTTTCAAGACAAGTGGACAGCTAGAGGTTGCAACATGACAGAATGGCCTTATTGTCCAGAAAACCTAAAAATTTCAAAGGAAAATGCCAAGTTGCTTAATGAGGAATTCACAAAAGAAGAGTTGATCAAAGTTGTCTTCAAACAAGGTAACAATAAATCCCCTGGACTTGATGGTATTACTAATTCCTTTTTCAAGTTTTATTGGAAGATTGTGGGAGAAGATACATGGAAAGCCATTGATGAATTTTTTAAAACCGATATCATGCATAAAGAGTGGAATGATACTCTTCTTGTTCTTATCCCTAAAGTAAAAAATCCTATTATTCCGTCAAACTTTAGGCCTATAAGTTTGTGTCAGACTACGTACAAATTTGTGGCCTCCATGATTGTTAATAGAATGAAGAATTTTATTGGCAATTGTATCACTTAAGAACAAGCTTCTTTCCTTCATGGTAGATCAATGTCCGATCATGTTCTTCTTGCTCATGAGGTGTTCCATAAGATGAAAATTTCTAAGAGGAAAAATGGTTTTATGGCGGTGAAACTTGATATGGAACAAGCTTATGATAGCATGTGTTGGGATACTTTATTTTTTGGCTTTCCTATGAAGTTGATTATGCTTATTATGGAATGTATTAGAAATGCTAGATTTGCTTTCATTTTGAATGGTAATAATTCCAAGTGGATTATAGCTGAAAATGGCTTTAGGCAAGGTTGCCCTCTTTTGCCATTCTTGTATGTCATTTGTTCTCAACTTCTTTCCTTTGCTATTGCACAAAGAGGTCAAGATTTGGGAATTCAGGTGTCCTGCAGAGCGAACAAGATCAGCCACTTGTTGTTTGCTGATGACGTGCTCTTATTTTCTAAAGCTACCAAGCAACTTGCTGTCAAGATGGACAAAATTGTGAAGGATTTTTTCTCTTGGATTGGACTATGAACTAATGTTTCCAAGTCTCAAATTCTGTTCAGCAAAAGGATGAATAGAGTGGACAGAATTCAGATTATGAAGATTTTGGAGTTTAAATTAGTGGATGAATTTCAGTACCTTGGGATCAAACTTATGATGAGAAGACCTTTGAAAGTTGACTTTAAATTTCTATTGGATTTGGTTTTAATGAAACTAAATTCTTGGGGTAGCAAATGTTTGTCTCTTACGAGAAAGATGACTCTTGCTAAGTCATCTCTTCTTACTTTACCAAACTTTATTTCCACTCATTCTTTGGTTCCTAAGAAGATTCTATATGAAATTGATAAATGTTGTAGGAATTTCATTTGGCATAAAAGAGATGGGAAGAAAGGTATGCACTTCATTGCTTGGAAGACCTTATTCAAACCAAAAGCTCAAGGTGGTTTGAACTTTCACTCGGCGGTTAGTAGATCTGGTCCCCTCAAAGCTAGATTGACTTGGAGGTTGATTCAAAATCAGAATTCTTTAATACATCAGGTTATGAATGCTAAATATGGTGACAGTTGGTGGCAAGTGAGTTGTGGTGTGGGCAAGTCAATTGCTTGGAAGATCTTGAATGAAGGAGCGGAATACTTGAAACCTCTATTGAGGTGGAGAGTGTTCAATGGGATGAAAATTGATGTGTTAAAGGATTTTTGGTTATTAGACAGATGCTTAAACGATTGGCCTATTACAGCGGATTGTGGAAATTTGGATGACATGAAGCTGTGTCACTTTATATCCGAGAATGGACTCTGGGAAAAGGAGAAACTGCAATGGTATTTTACTGATGAAATAATCAGTATGACTTTACAAGTCCCAATTGATACAAATGCTATGGCAGATTACAGGGAGGAGATTTGTTTTCTATCTGGGAAAACTATTACAGCCCGTGCCTTTGAAGACTACAATAAACACATTAGTTGTGGAGAAGATAATGGCTTTTATAATTGGCTGAAGAAACTAAAATTATCTGCCCGAGTACAACTTTTTTGGTGGAGAATGAGCAAAGAAGCTATACCTACTAATGAATTTTTGAAATTCAGAAAACTCACAACTGAAGACCGGTGTGTTAGAGGCTGTCTTGAGATTGAGAATCTGGAACATGTATCGGTTTGTTGCATAGAACTATAGAAAATAATAAGACATATTCAAAGCTGGGGAATTTACATTCTTGTTTTTAACTCTATAGAGTAGTGTTTGATTGAGCTGAAAATCCTTTCTATAATTAATCAAAATTTAGCTGGGATCTATTGCAATGCGGTTTATTATAATTGGAAAAACAGGAATTCTGTTAAGCATGGGAAAACTGTTGTTTCCATAGCTATTAATGCAGTTGAAGTACTCTATTCAGTTGTTACAACTGCTAATCCTCTCATTCATAATTGGGGTGCTAATCTCCCTAGGGAGTTTCAAACTTTTTGGCACCCTCCACCGATTGATTGGATCAAAGTTAATGTGGATGCTACTCTTCTTAATTCTTATAGTGCTGGAATTGGATGCTGCTTCAGAGACTATAAAGGGAGGTTATTGCTTGTTTTTGGTGAAAAAAGAACACATTGGGATATAGCTAGCCTTGAGCTTGATGCTGTTAGGACAATCAGAAAACTGATACAACCGTGGATGCTTGAGAGTAAAGGAATCATAATTGAAGGGGATAACATCAATGTTATCAAATTCATTCAAAATTCGATGAATAAGGCTAATTGGCAAAATTATAAGGGGATGGAGGAGGACTTTCTCTTCTTAAAGGACTTCAATAAGGTAATTCTTCAACATGTGCATAGGAATTGTAATAATGTAGCCGACTAGAGATAACAATTTTTACTTTGATAGTTCTTCCTTTGCTAACATTCCTCCTTCACTTTGTTATTTGTTGAAGGAGTGTGAGCACTATCTTTAGCTTGTATCTTGTTTTTTGATTTCCTTTTAATGCAAAATACAGTCTTCAGAAAAAAAAAAAAGTTTTTCCAACTCAACATCATCTATTTCCTATTCATTAAGAACTTTTGGCCATTACATTAGTTTGTATTTACATAATTGCCATAATTTTTGGAAAATTTTAAATAAAACAGATTAAATTTCTTATTGGTCTTCCACCAAAGAGTTGTTATCATCATTAATTTTATCTAGTTTCCATTCCTCTTTGCAAAAGCAAAATCATGAAAGAATTTTAAGTTTGAATCTATTTCATCCACCCAATTAGCTTTAGCTCTTTGATTCCACCATGTTGAAAAATGAGACAAAGTAACATTTAATTCACAAACTTTTCATCTAAGCAACTTCTAATTTTTTTGGATTAAGCCAACCAGTTGAACTTTCCTCTTTTTGTAAATATAATAAAATTTCTGCATAATTTGTCTAAATCATATAACAAACCCTTTGGCACCAAAGAATGAGTTGATAAGAATATAAGAAGTAATAAAAATGAATATTTTATGAGAAGAATTCTTCTAGCATTGAAAGGCATCTATTTCCCCAAGCATTTAATCTTTCCAATGCATGATCTAAGATACTCTGAAAATCAGTCAACTTCAACTTTCTTAAAACAATTTTCACTTTAAAATACTGCATTTCCTTAACAATTCTAAAACTTTGCTTTTTGGCTATATTTCTCTATCTTTTAACAACAACTGATTTCCAAAAATTAAATTTTGATTTTTTATTATTCACCTTTTGTCATGTCCAAGTAGAAAAATTAGCCATAATTCCTTTCATTGTCTCAGTTACTTTTAGAGATGCAATTAAAAAAAAAAGCATCATCTACATACAATAAATGTGAAATTTTTTCATCTTGTGTACCAATTCTGATACCTTATTCTGCACCTCAAAAGATTTCCCAAAA